CAGAAATTCGCTAGGTAAAAATATAATGTGAAGTATAATGACGGCATCTATAGTAATGCTAACATTTGTGAACTAAAACCTTCAGCAACTAATCAAAATGAAATCGAACCAAAACTGAATGAATCAAGCTTCTAATTTTTTAAGCTACGCATTCTTCTCTAGCTCACTGTATAAGGTATTTCTCCCGCCTTCGTGGTGTAGTGGTCTGCACGCTGGGAGCGTATTCCAGATGTCCGTGGTTCGATTCCTGGCGAGGGCATTGCTCATTTTGACACATTTCCTGCTTCGAAATAACCTAATAGCTCTACAATTATTCTGCTAATATGTCCGCCGTTTATCTTTCGTAGTCGGTTTTGAAGTTTATTGTTTCAGAGATATAAAAAACGAAAGCCTTTTGCACCAATTTAGCTGCGTTTGCATTAAAAATATTCATTTAGAATAAAAGAAATTTTAAAGGGGCCACGATTGTGTCTAAAAATATTTCTTTATGAATTGGCTTTTATCCTTAACATCTACGTCATCAAAAACGATTTCGTTGCATATGCGTGTATGTATATGTATATGTATGCATATTATACATGCGTAATTTTTATATCTTATCAACTCGAGAACTTATGATAGCTTCCTTAAATTAAATATGAAGTTAAATATTTCCCGATTTCTGAGCTGCATTTCCTTCAAGACATATTGAGAAAACGGAAAAAATGCACATATATTGTTTCTAAACACACACAGTTATTTATCAGACTGACTAAAGAATATTTGTTCCATTCTGGCAGTCTCTGTTTATGCAAGTATAAATGTGCCAAAAAAAAAAAAAAAAAAACATAGGGAAAAGGAAAATGTAAGAAACTGGAAGACCAAAAGTAGGTCATGAAAAGGAGACACTTTTAAATTTTAAGCTTTGTGTCAGCGGTTATAAATTCCCAAACATTTTAATAGTTAAACACAAAAATGCCATTTAAAAATTTTTGGGGAAGCACATTACCCGCCGATTACAAGATTATGATAGGGAAGTCCGCCGGTACATTCTGGAATGTAATTATGTAACCGCTGTCATCATAGCGTGGAAGCCTTGTCATTCATCTTATTGACCACCAATCAAAAGCGACAGCGATAATACCCGCCTCGACTGTAATACTCGGAGACGCGAAATCTGTCACCCCAGTTTCCAATATAGAGTCTTGTTTCATTTTAATATGTGTTCAGAAATCATAAAGAATGTTGATTTTGGGTTCTTCCCGTTAGGTGCATTGAATCACTCGGATGGGGAGGAGGTTTGACGCAACTGGAGATATTTTATCGAAACTTTGCCTCGGGCCTTAAGATTTATAAACTGCGGTAGGAAGTCGGCAAGTTGTCAAATAAGTTCGCTCAGTCGACAAGACTAGCTTCCTGTAGGCTAATACTAAATGAAGCATATATAGGAAAGTGTCAGTTCCGAGAAAAATATCTCTATCGTCTGGGACATTTCCTGAGAATTTTCTAGAAGTTGAAATGTAGCCATTTATTCATTCAAAGTACTAAAAGCTGTAGAAAAGAACAGAGCATGTCTACAAAAATTGCGACTGAATGCTGTAATACCGAAATAGAAAATGAAATACTTAAGAAAAATGCAATAATCGAATGCTGAATATAACCTTACATAAAATCCTATTGATTATCGCAGGATAAATTTATCAAATGTTTATGTTATCAATTCTCATTTCATATGAAAAAACTTCAGCAGGGTGCACGTTTTATTATTATTATTATATATTTTCTGTCGTAAAATTAATTTAACTGCACGTTAAATTTTCTTAGAATGCTCATTACAAATGGTACATCTTGAAAGGTAGGTAGCTCTATGTGCTTTACTATAACACTGATAAATAATGGCTTATTGTAGAAAAACATTTCCCTGATTTCTTACATGTTTTAAATTGATAATTCGATAATTAATTAAATAACAATTTCTCTATCGCCCTGTACAATTTTTATAATAAAACTTTGCGATGATGCTATTGTTTTGCACAAATTTTACTTAAGCTACTTTTCCCAGCCCCAACGTACATTATCTTTAATGTCTTTTCCAGGAGATCTTGATCTCAAAAGTAAAGCTGAGATGCTGGACTCGCCATTAAAAGAAATATTAAAGAATTACAAAGCTATGTATAATTTTTGTCATAAGCAGAAGAATTCATTTTGAAGCATCTACTTTATGAAAAAAGTTTCACGATATAAGTGGAAATCACATATAAATATTACTTGACTTTCTGTAATATCAAGACTGCCTTGAAAAATGGAGACTATTCATAAATCCTTCCAAAAAATTGAGAAGCAACCCTAATTCACACGTAAGTGAATATTCGACTTGTTTATGAAAGAATAATATGAAAATTTGATTACCTCTTCAATTAAAACTACGAGAAACATTAATTGCAAGTTTGAAGAAGTCAAATTATAGCTTTATTTTTTGGAAAATTATTTTTCTGTGCGAGTGCAATAAAAGTAATAAAAAGAAGAAATATATTAAATCTTTTCTGTTCTAAAAGAGAATTATTACTCTGGGAATTAAAAATATAGTTTCTGAATTCGCAGCACGCGTCCTTAGAAAGAACACTTACAACATTTTCACATTAAACTTTACTTGATGATGAACTTTGGGAAAGCAAAAGATGAAAAATGTGGGATTGTTGTTTGTTAAACAAATTCTCCAAACCTGATAATTAAGGAGAGGGAGTTTCTTTTCCGTCTTTAGTTTAAAGAATCAATGAATGGTTCTGAACAACAATAATAACATTTAAAGGAGCAAATAATAATGCTGAGTCTGGGGTACTTAAGTCCTCTACACAGATGACTAAAAGGCAAAAATTAGAAAGCTAATTAAAGAGCTTTTGTGAAACGCTAAACATTGCACTGTAATACGTCGTTCAGGATTCATTTGCTTTAATCTAAACTTGATTTTTTCCCCTAAACTTAAAAGCGGAAAGCGAGGGAAACTTAATTTTTCCCATAAGAATAAGTATACAGTAGAAATTCATTATAAACAGAACTTTGAAATTGTAATTTATTTCTGTTGGACTCAAGAAAAGTATATAATAGAGGCATATCGAAGACATTCAAGATGTTATTACTTCTAATGACTTTGAATGTGAATATGAAAAGACGGTGAATTAACGGGGGGCGCAGCCCTCAGCCCACCTAACCAAGAACACTTGGTCATATGACGTATCACAAGGGCCGGCCCATCTAACAACAAACGAGGGGCCAGAGACCCGGCCGTGCTCAAAAAACTAACAAAGAAAAACAAACAAATAAAATATTAAACTATGAATCCCGGGAAACCAAAAGCCCCAGGAACCGAGTAACAAAAAAGTTAGAAAAAAGAGAACTAAACAAAATCATAAATACGACCAGTGAATTTCATGTCATCACTGGACCTTAAACATTCACACAAACGAACATAATAAAATAATAAGAACTGTTAGAAAATAAAAATAAGACAACACATAACCAAGCAAATACAATACAAAAACACCATTCACACATAGATTCCTATGGCTTCTCTTGAGCTATTCACAATCTTCATAATTTGTCTAGAATATTCCACAAAGTTCTTATAATTTTTCTTGAAATCACTTCTATAATATTTTTTGATATCTATCCCTTGCACTCCCAGTAATAATACAGTTCTCAAAGAAATGCATAGAGTCTCCAGTGACATTACAAATATTACATTTATCATTGTCCTGCAATCCAAAACGTTTCAAATATGCAGGGAAGCGTCCATGTCCCGTAAGCATTTGATTGGCATCTATATCTTTATATAACTTCATTTTTCTTTTCAATATTTATATTTTTCAGTAAACCACAATTTCTATTAGATTGTTCCCAATTATTTTTCCATTCGTTCAATACATAATTATATAGAGTAGAGGTGGCCCTTCTTCTAGAGTCTGGGATATTTTTAATAATCACATTTTCATCCACAGCTGCAGACTTAGCTAATTCGTCCGCCCTCTCATTCCCTTCATATCCTGCATGTGCTTTTATCCAGTGAAGCTTAATATTATGTATATCTTTCAATTGTGCATATGTCTTTTTTATTTCAAATACAAGAGAGTTTTTACTTTCAGGACCCGAGAGGGTCTGTAGCACCGACAATGCATCAGAATAAATATTTATATTATATCTAATTTTCAATGTGCCTTTAATCCAATTGAGAGCTTCAAAAATAGCATACATTTCTGCTTGATAGACAGAATTCATAGAATTTAAACGAAATTTCCAATTTTGTATTTCAATTCCATAGAAGAATACCACGATCGCACCTCCAATACCCCCCTCGAGTCCTGAACCATCTGTGAAAATATTCATTTCCTGACATTCGAGAAATGCACAGTCATAAGGAATCAAAATCTTATTACTAGGATGAATACAATCATCATCAAAATTTTGAAACGCTTCATTTTTAATAACACATTCATTTATATCTATATGATCAACCAAATTATTCGAAAGTAAAAATTTTTTTATAATAAAAATTATACTGGAATGAGAGGGGCGGGACACCAGCAAGGAGGCAGACCACCTCTGTAGAGACTGTCCTGAAGACTCTCGTAACTGCCAGCATCCAGCTTCTCTGCAAAGTATTCAATTTGTCTCGCAAGCGGATCAACTCCCCTGCCCTAACACCCCAAGCACCTATTCCATAGAAAATCTTAGGTAAGATAACACTGTTAAAAATTCTCTTCAGTATCGATGCTTTTTTATGCAAAGTTTCTGTATTAAAAGTACTACGATAAAAATGTAAAATTCTATCAGTTTCTCTATGTATAGATTTAAAATGTTCAATAAAATTTAGCTTTTCATCTATAATAACACCCAGATATTTTATATTTCTCTGAAAACGGATATTCTTACCCTCAAATTTCAATTTTGGTGCTCTAGTTCTAGCACCCCCTCTAGGAAAGAAAAGTCCAAAAGTCTTTTCCACATTAAAATAAATATTTTCAGATTTACTCCCACTTCAACATCTGCTCTTCAACTTTTATAAAGGTATGTTGTATTTTTTCCAGAGAGGAGCCCTTAATAATAAGCAGAATATCATCTGCATAACAAATTATTTCTGCATTAGAAACATCAAAATCCACAAGGAGAGTATTAACTATTAGGGCCCAGAACAGGGGAGCACTACACGATCCCTGCGGACAGCCTTTAAACATATCCAAATTTATATCTAAATCTTCTGAAAATCCCTTAAAAACAATTCTTCTATTACTAAAATAATCCCTGATAAGTAAATAAAGATCTTTTGTAATCTTCAGCTCAAATAATTTATTTAATACGGAGGACCATCGAACAGAGTCAAAAGCAGCCTTGACATCGAAAGAAACAACCGCGACATGTTCAATACTTTTTATTCTACGTATTTTATCAACTACCCTAAAGAGTGCCAGATTAGCAGATCTTCTTTTCCTAAATCCATATTGATTTTCCGCAAGATGTTGTTTATCATTTATGACATATAAAAGTCTATTTACAATTAGCTTATCCAATACCTTAGCAAAAACCTTTAATAGACAAATTGGGCGATATTTATCTTCATTTTTAGGCAACAAAATTAATCTTCCAATCTTCCAGGCAATAGGAAAAACATGCAAAGACAAACATTTATTAAACAAAATAATAAAAAACGAAGGATAGTTCACAAACAATCTTTTTACAACTCTTGCCCGAATTCCATCCAATCCTGGAGCGGCTCTGTCTCTAAGACTTAAAATGACTTCCCTAATTTCTTCGTAGGTAAAGTCCAATTCACCATCTAAGTCGTCATTACCAAAGTTATCACCATTATTATCAGGATCATCAATTTCATCAGTTTCAATATTCAGTGTCTTTTTAACAATTTTCAAATATTCTTCCTTTACATCCGTAGCCGCTCTATTATCACTATCTCGTAATATAATCTGTTTCTTAATTTTATTCGTAGCAACCTTAAAAATTCCTTCGTAATATTCCTTGTCTTGAATAAAAGCCCTATTTCTGAAATCACCCTTCACCTTTTTAATTTTCTTTTTATAAAAAGCCAAACATTTTTTATATTCTATTTTTCTTCGTATTCTAGTTTCATCATCCAAGTCTTTCACCTGGCAACTCTTGCGGATAGCCCTGACTCTCCTTCTAAGAGTATTCAGCTCATAATTCCACCAAGCAGTACCACTACGTTGTCGTATCTCACACTTTAAATCTCTTCTCATTCTTTCTTCAATTCGCTTCTCCATATACAAAATTAAATCATTAAATTCCCCAGCATCCTTCGTATTGACAATACGGTCTTCAATCTCAAAAATAAACCTTCTCATCTTAACGCAACATCTATCAATTCTTTTAACATTATTTGACAGAATAATATCCCTCTTATCTTTAATACTAACATCCTTTATACTTATCAAAATATAGTTATGATCGCTAAGGGAATTTTCCTCCAATATTTGCATGTCAAAGTTCTCAATAAGAGAATTTGGAGAACACAACACCAAATCCGTATATCCATCTCCACATGCAGAAGAGAAGGTGGGTCTAGAATTTTCTTTGTTTCAATAAAATCAAATCATTTAAAATGATAAAATCTGAAGTTAAAACCCCTCTTTCATCAAGACTCTTAGCCCCCCAAATAAAATTCTTTGAGTTAAAATCTCCAATAATAATAAAACTGTCTTTAAAAACAGATATAACTTCTTCTAATTTTAAAAGATACGTATTCAAACATTCCACAGGGGAGAAATAAACTGAAATCACACCATTGTTTAACTATGAATTCAATCCCAGGGTTTACGACAACAATAGCAGCTCTTCCTATATCTGCATGGATGGTCCTCCAACTGTTTTTAATATAAGCCATTTTCTTTCCAATATAATAAGGTTCTTGAACTGTAACAATATCAGGGATATCCTCAAAAATATTATCTATTGCAGAGAGCCGGCATGCCGCAGCATTACAATGATTAAGATTACAATTTAAAATGTGCATAGTTAAAAGGATCCAAAATAAAACCATTCAATATAATAAATATAATTTAAAATCCAATATATACAGTTTAAAAAAGATATATACAGTTAAAATCAGCAATAATTATCCTGAACTTACCTGGGAGGCAAGGGTATAGTTTCTTCCAAGATTTTCAATTATATCCTTTCCTAGAAGTCTTCTTTTAGAAATAAATTACACAATAGTTCAAAAGTCTTTATTTCACACAATGTAAAAGCCGTAAATTATTAATTCGTAGCCACAGGAATAAATAAAAAGTTTAAAATTAAAATCAAAATCAAAATCTCCCCACCGCAGAAGCTAAATCACCTCAAGTTTCTAGATCTAAATGTTCCCGAATAAATTTTTTCTCTCTTATAATCGAGGGACACTCTCTCCAAAAGGTATCGTGGTCATATTCCACATTAATACCATATCTATCTAAAGCTTCTTTACAGTTGATACATTCTTTCTTTTCACTATGACAATTTTTCCTCTCATGTCTACCATTACATGCAGAGCAGCAAACCCTTTCAAAACTTACAATTCTTCTTGGTGTGCCCAAATCTAAGACAGTTCATGCAACGCTTAGGTTGAATGAATAATTTTACAGGGTATGCTTTCCAACCAATCATAACTCTATTCCCTTCAAGGATATCTTGCTGACACCTAGCAGAAATCTCAAAAATCCTATGTGAAACTCCATGTTCTTGAGTTTTAATACGAAATAAGGATCTCGAACATTTCCCATCACAAACACAAAATTCATTAAATCTTTTCAAAACCAAGTCTTCTTCAACGGAATCACTAATATTATACAAAATAACCTTCGGCTTAATAAACTTATTCCTTCGAGTCCTAATAAGTGTGTTTAATTTCGGATTCTCCGTAATAGCTTTTTCAACAGCAAGTATATCTGACCTATCTTTTAAATTGATAATCATATCACCATTTTTCTTTCTAAAAGTATTAAAACTTTTAACACCTATATCCTGTGGTTGGAGTTCAGCATTAAGTTCATCATAGACATCAACATCTTTATCAACTGGTCTTATAATCAAATCGTTAGCCCTAGATCTCTTTTCACTGTTTTTCTTTTTATCATTATTTCTTTGATCATCAACTTCTCTATCTCTCCTACTATCCAGTCTTTCATCAATCATTTGTTTTATCTCCTCTTTGAATTCTAAAAGAGTCTCCTCACTACTCTTACGCATATCTAATTCCATAATCTTAAGCGTAGACGTATGTGCCCATTTCACAACTGCCTCAACCTGAGTATTTAACTCAGAAATTAAATCCTTGGGTACTCGCTTCGTTTTTAATTCATCAATAATCCTATAGAATTCTTTAATTATATTCGACATTTCACTATCTCTTTCACCCATGTTTATAAAATAGACAATAAGAGTAATATAATAAAATTCTAAATAACTGCGGTAAGGGAGACACTAAAAACACTAAAACATATATAAAACATTTAGCTCAATCAATATCTTCTTAAAATTCTCAATAAAATTCAAAAAATCTAATTCTGAAGAATAAAATAGTCTTAAAACACTTCAAAATAATTTTTTAAAGTAAAAACTAAAGTTCTGGCATCAAAATTGAACAAATTGACCAACGGGCGGGAAAGACTAGAAAATCCAGTGCATCAAAAGTTCTCGGAACCTTTCTTCCACCGGGCAGAAATACTTCATATAATGGTGCACCAAAAGATTTTTTCCTATACTTGACGAACATCTACATGCAATGTAAACAATGTCCTCCACGTTAGGCCTCGTACACTCAAGATTTTCAGAGTTCAATATCTCAATAAATGTGCAAGATAAGATTGTGCATTTAATATTACAGTAAGATACAAGTATACCGAACAGAATTCTTCAATCAGATAATATTTACACACAATATTTAACGAATAATGAATATAAACTTACCCGACCATGCCAGGTGGGCGTTTCAGCAAGGTCGATTTCGAAAAACACTCATAAAAACTTAAATATGCACTTTCTTGCACGAAACTTGATATATCTTGATAGCGGAGAACATAACCAATGCAAAGAACACACTCAAAAATCAACACAAGCAATTTAGACAGATTTAAAAGTCTTTAAAATACGAGCCACACACTTTCCACGCAACAAGCACTTCGGCGTTGCCAGAACCCCCAAAGACGGTACTTTTCAGGAAGAAATGAAAAAAAGAATATTGCTAACCATATTTGAAATAGCTCCGAACTTAATTAAAATGTTGAGTTCCGGAGTCGGAAGCAAAAGGTATGCAGATTCGATATTCCAATGCAAATCTATGTGTTATTAATCTATATATTATTTGCAAAATTCTGCTAAAATGTATCAAAGAGTTTAGGGAGTTTCATTTTTCAGTTTAATCTTTTTCAGTTCTCAACGCAAGTTTTTTGTCAGCTTCTTCAAGGATACAATGCAAAAGAAATTTGCAAACATCATTTCCAACATGGCAGATCCCTGTCTCTTACTAACTCGAAGTATTTCATTAACTTTTAAGTGAGCTAATTAATTATAGTTCCAAAGTTTAAAGTGAGGCTTCATTCAGCTAAAATTTTTAATAAACAAAATTGCTTGATTTTCGCTTTTGACACAAGTGACTGATTGTATGGCTCGTTTCGAAGGAAACACTTTCATTGCCAAGTTTAGTAAAAACTGTGATTGTGAAAAATTATTCTTTTACACTGACAGTTAGATTTCAGTTAAACCCTTTCTAATTCTTGGCTGTTATCACAGTACTCACTCAGATCATAAAGTTATGCAGGTTTTCGTACTTTAAAGAAAACGGTTAATCTTAACCGTAAGGATATTGGAATGCTCGCCACTTTGCCTGATTAAGAATTAATTTCTGCTGTGTAACTGAAAAGCTAAATTCGGTGATTCGCGGGGTCGCTGATAAGGGTTTTATAAGTTTAGGAACTGTACAACAGAAAAAGTGTTTAATATGGAACTTAGAACAGAGTTTTGTGAATAATTGTTAGCTTAGTTCCAAAGGCAAGTAGATTCATCTTGAAATATTATTCATACAATTGGAACTTAAAACTGCGTATTGTAAATAATTGTTATCTTAGATACCAAGGTAAGTATATTCATCTTGACATGATATTTATACGATAAAGTCATCGATTTAATTTGTTTTGAAATTTGGGTTTTGTCCACCAGTGGCTAAATAAAATTTAATAAATTTTAATTTGGTTTGTAATTTGCGTTAAATAGTTGATAAGGACAATAACTGGCTAACAAATTAAGATAACTCTGTATGTGTAGCTGTTAAACAGAACATTCAGTGTAAGTTATTTCATACCTCACATGTAGTTTTGTATAATTTTTATATATGCTTAAAATAATGGTCATATCTTAACCAGTCATAACCTGTAAATAGGTTCGTGACGGTAGTCCAGGGAATATACCCTTTCAAGAACAGCTGTTCTAAATCAACTAGAAAAGAAATACAGTAGGCAACTCTTGCCTTCTAGAGGTACTGGATCTGTTTCTCACTGCACTGCCTTTTATTCTGTACGTTTTTCTAATTATAGCTTAAGAATTCTTCACTATTTTCTCGTCGTTTAACGGTGATAAACTGCGAATGACAAAGAAGCGAAAAACCGCATTTATCCAATAAGCATTTTAAAAAAAAAAGAAAGGAAGGAGAACTATTTCCTCCCCCTTCCCCCATATTCGTCAAACAAGATAAATATGATGTGTGGAAAGTATACCATAGTCACCATAGTAATTCCTCATTCGCATGTACTTCTTCCAATCAGATTTTGTTAATGGAATGTGACAAGCCATACGAAACTATTCGTCTAAAACGGAGAATGTGTTTAGCAAGTAACTTTCCAATGGTAACCGACTCGTATTACATTACAAATGGGGAATACACAAAAACAGTCACACATCAACTCCTTCTTCCAGATTTAAACTCATTAAAGTAGCGAGGTTCGGAGTCTTGTACATCGAGCCACTGGCTTTTTGAAATATAGTCAACCTAACTTTATATTTCTAAATTTATGCAAATACTTTTTGTTTATGTCATTGTATTTCGCTATTTATGTTTTTTCTAGTGTTGTGTGTAGTTTTTGTTTATTTATAATGCTCATTTCATGTAAAAAATTTAGCAAGTAACTTTGTTTGATCGACTTTGTGGTCATATATCCTTTTCCCGGGGGCTGGGACATATATGTCTCGCACTTTCACTACTTTAAATGTGTCTCAAGAAATTTCAATAAATTATGGAGATTTAAAATTTACCCCTTAATATGGATTAGGAAGAGTAAGATCCAGTCGATTTGTTTTTCTGTTCCTTTCATTTAAAATAAGTGACTAAATGGCCATAATACGTTCAAAATTGGCCTCTATAGCCCACGGGAAAAGGATATTGCGTTTCTAAATGTGCGTTTTGTGCACATCTTCTTGATTCAATCGACGTTTAAATTGTAAAGACAGCTCAAGTATAACCTCACATGTAGGAAGGAACTCTCCTGATTGGCTTTGTGCACTGGTGTGCAAAAATTAAGAACGAGAGAGTTTTTTCAATATAACAATGTGCAAAAGCTTTTCAAGTCAACACAAATAATACTATAAGATCCCCAAGACGTAAGAAATAAGTAATGTAGGCAAACCTTCCCCAAAAAGAAATCAAAAAGATAAAAAGGAACTTTATTGAAAAAGTAGCATGAAGTACAATACGACAGAAGGACGAAACATCTATGTGACAGGTGTCCAGCAAGAAACATTCAGCCTTAAGTAAGGAATATGATCTCCCGGACTGCTCTGCAGGTTTCACATCGTCTATACATGCTGAGTATAAAATTGTCAACGAGTTGTTGAGGCACTACTACCCATTGTTCTTGTAGCGCCAATCGCAGCTCCGGGTACATTACTGGCGATACGTTACGTGCTGCCACGCATCTCGTAGAAAGCTCCATACATGCTCGATGGGATTTAGACCCGGAGACCTTGCTGTACAACCTATGTGTTCAGTATATGCACTCTCCAACAGCAACTGTACTATGAGGTGGACCGTTGTCATGATAAAGAGGAAATAAAGACCCATAGCACCTCTGAAAAGACTCATATAAGCAAGCAGAACCTCGTTGCAATAGCGAGACCCAGTGATTAAATCTCCTTGGAAGATATGAAGGTCGGTCTGGCTACCAAGCGTTATGCCTCCTCAAATGAGAACTCCGTGACTTCCAAACCGGTCCCTTTCAATGAGGTTGGAGGAGTTATTGCATGATCCCCCCTCTCTCTCCAGATGTGTATGCGTCTAGAATCGCTACTCAGACCAAATCCGTTCTCATTCTTAAAGCGTACTCGATCCCGTTGATTATCTATCCAATTCTGGTGGTCACTGCCCCAGAGATAACGCCTTCTCCGATAAGCAGGCGTTAACACCGTACACGTCGTCGTGCAAATAGACCACACAGCGCAGCCTCCTATTCACGGCAAAGCGCGATATCGGTCGTCCAATTACCTGTTCCAAGTATCTTGAGATTTTCCCCGCCATCTGCAGCCTGTTTCTTATAGCCTATAGGGCAATATATTGGTTGTCCTTTGCCTGGTTGCTTGTGGACGACCACTTCTGAACCATCAGACAGCAGTTCTTGTAGTTTGAAATGCTCTCCAAAGTCGTGAAATCATGCTGTGAGCAATCCCAAACTCCGCAACCACATTTGTCACACTTCGACCTTCCTCAGTTTTTCCAATCATTCGACCTCGGGTAAAATCATCAAGATGTCGTCAAGCAGATTGATTGTTCGACATTTCACATTGAGGAAGCAACTCGACGTCGTCTAAACTGATATACGCCATGCAAAAGCTTCCCAGAAATGCTAAGCTCACACCGCCAGTGATTTCTACACCCTTCCGACACTCCCCCCATTATGTCTAGCTGCATATATGAGCGTATGCTACCGTACCTGACCCTAATCGATCTCCTGATTGGTCTTTCAGTCTACTCCGCCTCTTCCTTCCGCTGATATGATATCTTTTCAACTACTTGTTGCCATTATGGCATGATTTTGTGAGTTTTTGTCCTTTAAGCGCTTGGAGTGATTTGTACTATGTCTTATTTCCACAATTTCATTAAAAGATCAGGATTTTCGAGACATACAGAAATTCGATCTTATCACATGACATGTTCGAATTCGACCGTCCTTTTGTTCTGAACTCAATACTTGAGTTGGATAAAATGAGAACAATTTTTTTTCCATGATCTTTCACGACAGTTTTGTAAGCATTTTATATATTAATGTTAAACTCACCAACTGCTTTACGAAGAAACAGTTAACGGTTTTTACTCGCCAAGTGTCGAAATATTTTCATGTTGTCATTCGTTTGAGACTCCGAAGGGTAACCATCTGGCTGTTTTAAGACTGAATTCATCATCAAAATTTCCAAGCCCATAATGATATTATCCATACGAACGAAAGTTTCGTATTGTGTTAGCGTTTGATTCACGTATACTTGATACATTTCAAGTGTCTTCGTTGCTGTGTTCCCAGATTTACAGCAAAACCTTAGTAATAACAGTAGTGAAGATTTTGAACACTAAATCTTTTGCTCCTGAAAGAGCGACATCTGCGTATGATCGCCCTCGAAACAGATAAAATTTTATTCAAAATCTACGCCAGACCAAGGTTGCTTTTTAGCATAAATCTAAATTTTCAATCGGCGTGCTTCTCTTCCAATTTCCGGTTTATTGCTATTCCGCTTTCCATTTTTATTTGTAACATCAAAGAGTATTGAACGCTTTGCATAAGGATTTTTTGGACATATGATGAATTATTAAATTTCTAATACAACTTTTCGTTAATTTGTAGTCTTTTGTCATGTTCATTTAAGACATTTAATTGTTAATATACTCGTAGTATTATATTACTACAATGTTTAATTGCTAATACAATATTATATTTGCATACTATGCTAAATAAGCAGTAATTTCCAAATGCAGACACTAATCCATGTAATGTATTTTCATTTAAAAATCACAAAATTCCAAAATATTTGAATAAAAATTTCGAATGTCCGATTTCTTAAGTGAGTTATTGGTTAACATACTTGGAATAAACTATTTTATTGCAAGAAATATTTTAATGATATTTAGATTGCAACAAGAAAGATATAAAATATAGAAAAAAAGTAATATTTTAGAAAGAAATTTTAAATGTATACTATTTAACACCCTAACAACGAAAAAACCTTTTTCCAAAATACAACTGTCCAGAAACAAAGTGAGCAACTGTATATTTATTTGGAAATAAATTGAGGCATGTAAAGTTAAGCTTGGTGTGCTTTGATTTGTGTTATAAACTGAAAATTTGTATAAAAGTATTATTTATAGATTCGATATTATTTGCAAATCTGTCTGCAATGCTACCCCTTTTTTTAACTAACGGAAATGAAAAATACTGTTTACATGAAAAAGGAAAACTCTTGCCGAAGCAAACGATAAATATTCTTTTGGGGACAATTCTCACTGCTGATTCGTTTTTACTGTTCTTTTGGATGGAATAAAAAGAGAAAATAAACTAATAAAAAAACTTAATGGTAAATATTTTCCTCGAAATCTTTAACATAGCATTCTCTAATCGAAGAAAGCGATAGAAAGGTGCCACCCGCTGAGAATTTGCGATGGCTTAAAGGAAACGTTCTTAATGGAAGGTTCTTTCATTTATGTATATAAAGCAATAAAAATAAGCTTACTTTATATCATATATTTTTACTTCCTCATGTGAAAAAACTGATTGAAAGGAAAAGAAAACTAATAAATAAACTGTGTCCTTCAACCAATACGCAACAGGCAATGAATGATATAGTGTGAAAATTAGATGCCTAGTATATACATGCTTTGTTCAAACGTCTATGTACTTTACATATTTTTTCACAGTCACATTGAGCCATAACATGATTATTTTAATTTAATGTTTCTCTTATTTAAAAAGAAAAGTTATTTTTGAAAATTCCGTTCTAACATATTGTCGAAATATGTATACTATATTATCATTTGTTGCTCATATATAAAAAGTTAACCGTTTCTGGTTTGAAAGGAATTTAGATTCGTAATGCCGATTATGA